AATATCACTCAAAGCATATTTGGGATATTTAGGATTTGTTACTAAGTGGACATAGAGACTACAAAAGAATATAGATCACCAAACACAAGGTAGAATCTATAATAATAAAAGCATAATATGCTAATTAGACCAGACAGCCAAATAACCTTTCAGACAAAGCTGTCATTGCAGGGGCCAAGACAGAAGCGATTAGGGGTGATCAGGCAGGCAGGCAGAGGGGTTAGTGACTATCAAGAGGTAGGCAAAAGGTTAGGGGTTATCAGGCAGGAGCCAGTGGTTCCAGATTGTGAGAGGGATGTCTGACTGCCGGTTTAGGGATTGGACCTAAACTGGCAGTGGGGTCCCCAATTGCGAGAAGGCTGGGCTGGGCTGGGCTGAGGAAACTCCCCCCACCTCCTGTACATGTAATCATAAAAAGGTCAGGGATTTCTAGACTGGTTTACTTCATTCCAGGCCATAAGAACTATAGGAACTAAAAAAAAAATCATTAAAAATGCACTTGTACACATTACTACTTTGATTTAAGTGGTATCTAAGTGTGAAACTTACGTACAGTAAGAATAACCACTGCAACGAGTCCTCCATCTGAGAAAAAAATAAAACAAGTTTGAAAGTTATTGGATGAGAGAGAGAGAGAGAGAGAGAGAGAGAGAGAGAGAGAGAGAGAGAGAGAGAGAGAGAGAGAAAACTGGGTCTCAAAGAGTTTACACATTTCAATTTTGATGAAATCATCTATAAACTACAGTGAAGAAAAAGTTTATCAATCTAGTTTATTCAGCTCATTTTGACCACAGAACCTGTCTAATATGATTCCAGGCTTAGGGTCCAATTTGTGAAACTCTTAATAGGGACCTCAGTTGTCACTGCTTTGGACTGTAGTAACCCCACCAGGACATAAAAATTGGAATATTATAAAAATTAGGAAACATTATTATAAAAATTAGAATTTACTATATTAGAGGAAAATCATTTTAAGAATAGATCATACCATTCTAGTTGATTTAACTCACTATTCGATTTATAATGCTTATGATTTTGTTAGAAATTGCATTTACCTTGTTCCTCAAAAGTGAGTCTGTGGAATAAGTCATTAGTGAAGTTCTGTTCATTGATTACATAGATCTATTTTGCACTCTTCACAAATAAGACATTATCTTATCAATCCTTCCTCATGCAACCCTACCCCCAAATTAAGACACAATTTTCATTACCAAGAACATTATAGGAAAGGAAAGGATAAATTATGCATAGAAACATGAACATGCATTTTTGATTGTCCAGAGAGCAATAAGTAATACTACAGGATCTTAAACCTTAGAAATGCTGTTCAGTAGTACCTCTGCTTCCACACTGCCATTATTTTTCTTACATTCTTCTAGATCAAAGCATAGTGTCATGTTTACTTCTACTCTTTTTATTTTCTAAAAAAGATTCTTAAGTACTTATTAAATTAAAATGGCTTTGAATTTACTGGCAAAATGACCTTTGACAACAGTGTTCAGAAGGAAAGAGTAACAGGCCTAAGGTGACAGGCCTAAGGTGCCTTTATAAAGGCTAACGTCACTAAACTAGTCTAATGTAAAAAAAAGTAATCTATACTTTCCTTAATTCATTCATCAAAAATCTTTATATTAATGTAACTGCCACAACCATACTTATCCTTTCCTTTAACATATAGTGTGGGAACTGTGTGAGCCTACATAAAGTGTGATACACCAGCCTGTTATAGAAAAAAACTAGCCCAACTTACAGTAGGTTAAGGCTTGTGTATATAAGATAGGAATAGAAAGAAAATGTATTTACAAAGTGCCATTACAAAAATAACACTATCACATGGAAAGCAAGTTAGGTTTTCTATATTTTAACCTACAAATAAATACAGCAACTGAGAAAGTTACCTCACCTCAATAGGAATTGGATTTGAGGGACCTCTTAAAAACTGTATTATTGTCCTAGCAGGTTTGGCTTAGAGGATAGAGCACTGGCCTGTGGACTACAGGATCCCAGGTTTGATTCCAGTCAAAGGCACATGCTGGTTGGGGCTTCAATCCCCAGTAGGGGGCAGGCAGGAGCCAGCCTATCAATGATTCCCTCTCATCATTGATGTTTCTATCTCTCTTTCCCTTTTCCTTCCTCTCTGAAATCAATAAAAAAATATAAGAAAAATACTGTGTTATCTGCATGTGTCTACATATACTACTGCTTCCATTTGTCATGGTATCTGCACATAAAAATAAATACAAATGTCAACTATCACATGACAGGTTGTTTCTTCTGAACTTCACATAACTGAAATATGATATTTCCATGGAGAATTCTAGGGTCTCATAATGGAGTGTTATTAATAACCAAAATATTACCTAAATCATTGGCCCCAATTGATGATTCACTATTTTCTTGGAATCTTCTAGAAGAAAAGAAATAATTTTAAAAAGAAGTAAAAAATAGTAATGCTTACATGCTATATAATGTTAAATTCATAGGTTTGGGTTTTTGCCTTTGTACAACATGTCATAATTTTATTTTCCTTATAAAAATTGTGTAAATATTGCTCATTTAAAGTGTTATCACAAATATTATAAATTTATTTTCAGTAATGAGCATTCTTTTTCCACTCCAGTAACAATTCCTGTGATGATATTCTGTGGTACAAAATGCAAATTTATCATCAGTGTATCTTCAATATCAGCCTATGGATTCAATGTGATTCTCCCTACAATTATGAATACAGGAGAATTTAATAAATGATTTAAGAGTTATTTGTAATGTTGAGTAATTTCAATATAATAAGGCCCATTTATGACAAACCAATAGCTAACATCATACTTGATGGTAAAAGACTGTAAGTTTTTCCTTTAAGATCAGGAACAAGGCAGGATGACTGTGTTTGACATTTCTATTTAACATAACATCAAATGATATGAACAGAGCATTTAGGAAAGAAAAAAAGCATCAAAATTGGATAGGAAGAAATAATTTATCTCTATTCTAGAAGATGACATGATTTTTTAAACTAGAAAGCTGTAAAGATTGCACACAGACATGCACACACACTCACCCGTCGGTGCTGATAAATACATTTGCCAGAGCTGCAGTCTACAAAACCAATAAGTAAAAATCAGTTCCATTTCATCACACTAACAATGAACAAACCAAAAAAAAAGGAAGAAAACAACCAAAGTATCCTGCCATTGAGGATTGGGGAAAGAAGACGTGGTTCATATACACAATGGAATACTACACAGCCAGAAGAAAGGATGAAATACTGACATTCACACCACCAACAGGATAGATCTTGAGAATACTCTAAATGAAATATGTCAGACAGCAAAAGCTAAGAATCATATGATTTCACTCATATGTGGGATATAAAACTGGAACTCGTGAACACACACAGCAGCGTGGTGGTTGCCAGATGGAAGGGGTTGGAAGGGGATCCTAATATAAGGTGACAGAAGAATACTTGCCTTTGAGTAATAGGCACATGGAGCTATATATCGATCTTGTAACATAGAAACCCACACCTGAAAACTACAGGATCATATTGACCGGTGTCAGCCCAATAAATTTAATAAAAATTTTAACATATCATTGTAATACAGTGAAAAAATAAAAGACTTTTTGTTGGGACAGGAATGGACAGAGTTCATAGGAACCGAGAGACAACTATAACTCCTATGAATTTACTGTCTGTTAAAAACTGGTACTTCGAACATTTGGAGAGAAGACAATAAGTGTATATGCCAATTTCAGCTAAAACACTGGTTTAAATGTAAGGAATGCAATCAGAACATATGGCTGGATTTTTTATATAATTTCAGCATGGGGAAGACCTACAGCTTTTATAATAAAGACACAACATTCATAGCCATTGTAGAGAAAAATTAATACATCCAAGTACCTATAATGTAAACTTCTGCACATATAAATGACCACTGATAAGAAAACAGCTAAATAAATATAGTATATATTATAGTCATCATTAAAAGGATAGGAATAAACCTAAATGCAATCCACTCTAACACTATAAATGTAAAATGTGAGAGTTAAAAAATATGAACAGCATGATTCCAATTCTGGTTAATAACAACAAAAACATGATAAATTATGTTTATCTAGTCATATAAGGATATTAATGTACAGTAACAGATAAAAAGACAACTAAACTATTAAGGGATTAATTCAGGAAATGAAGTAGAGAAACATGAGACTAATGTTTTCTCTGTACACTTTTCTGTAATATTTGAAATTGTACTAATCTATATTAGTATACTAATCCTATCTAATAAAAGCCTAATATAGAAATCAACTGAATGGTGATATGACTGTCGACTAGTTGCTATGATGTGCAATGACCACCAGGGGGAAGATGCTCAATGCAGGCGCTTCCCTCAGTCCACAGGCCCCAAGGTGGGTGGCAGCAGGGGCCTCCCTGATTACCTCTCCAGTCTACCCACAGACTGGCCCTGATTGTCAGGCCAGCCTTGGGGCCCTATCTGTGATGAATTTTATGTATTATAAAGCGCAATCTATATTTAACCATATAAAATCTTAAAAGGAAGCAGAGCCCAATCAGAGTTGCCCAGTGGTTGAGTGTTGCTATATGAACCAGAAGGTCAAGGTTCAATTCTGGATCAGGGCACATGCCCAGGTTGCAGGCTCAATCCCCAGTCGGGGGCCTGGAGGTGGCAACCGATCAATGATTCTCTCTCATCATTGATGCTTCTATCTCTCCTTCTTCCTTCCTCTCTGAAATCAATAAACCTATATTAAAATGTATGTAAACAGAAAGTTACTAAACCTGAGACTAGTAATTGTAGGTTTTATATTGAAAGGTATTGACATTAAAATATATATATAATGAAGATGAGACCAACTACTTGGCAATTTCTACATTTTTTCCAAATTACAAAACGTTATTTTTCATTATTCCATATCATTGAAATTTAATGTCAAAGAAATAAATTCTAAACAAAAAAGAAAAAAGACCCCTTTTGTACCTTCAACACATTTTGGGATATCAGGCTCCCAAGTACTGTCAGCTTCACAGACAATACTGCTGCTGCCTTCAAGGGAAAATCCCTCCAGGCATTCAAACGTAACCTTTGATTTGTACTGAAAATTTTTTCCAAATCCTGATACCAGTCTCCCATTCTCTAGTGCTGGATATTCACATTTGACCACTGAAAAGTGAAGAGATTCCAGAATTAATGGAAAGCTGTTTTAATAAGGGAAAGAAAAACTAGTGTAAATTAGTAATTTCCCCTGGGAACAAAGAGGCAAGGAATGGAAGACAGAATGTTAACTTAAAAAACAAACAAATAAAAAAATCCCACTTTATTTGTTTATTTTCTTTCCAGGTAAACAGATATAGAGACATCTAATAACCTTTTCCCACTTAGAACAGGCTGCCATTACAGATGAATGGTTTCCTATAAGTTTTCCCATTACTGACAAGTTTTGAGAAAGATCGGATTAGCACATACAACTTTCAGATAAGTTCGAAAGCAATTTTGATGCCTTTTAGAGCTAGGAAATTTTCAAATTTCTGGCTCTAAATTTCAGGCTGACACTGACTTATTACCCTGATCTTCTGAAAAGGCAGTAAAGGCTCTTGAACTCAAAGGTAAAAAGTTGAAAAGAAGGTAGCCATGTAAACATATGCAGATAGAAAGTTATCAGGTATCAGCAACATGCAAGAACTGGGATGTGCAAGAAATAGAAAGGCCAGTGAACTTAAGGTCGTGTTTTCCAAATATTTTGGACTGAAACTCAGAGATCAAACCCCACATTTTATATTGTAATCTCAAAGGTCTGGGATAAAGTTAAAACTTCATAGTTAGCCTTCGTACCTACTGTGTTTCCCCGAAAATAAAACATCCTCCGAAAATAAGACCTACTTACAGGTTTCCTTCTGAGTGAAATATAAGGCATCCCCCCAAAAAATAAGGCCCCCCTAGGAATCACAAGAAATTCACCAGGAAATTCAGGAATTGGATTGTTATGATGATGTTCCAGAAGATGATGACATGATTGTCATTGAATAAATGAGTAAATTCTTGATACTGTAGGATTCACAGTTTGTCTGGTTTGTGTTGACAACTACTGTACTACCGTACCATATACAGGTAATAAATTTCCTTTATTTTCATTTAGCAATAAATGTGTACTGTATTCTTCTTCATGGAAAAATAAGACATCCCCTGAAAATAAGACCTAGCGCATCTTTGGGAGCAAAAATTAATATAAGACACTGTCTTATTTTTGGGGAAACAGGGTATGTACTCAGGTATTTCCCATTCTGTTCTACTTCTTACAAAGTAAAGGTATGATTTTCTAGATTGATTTCAGAATCCAGCAAGGAATTTGGCAGACTTGGGGGAAAATCAGAAGCAAACAAAACAATGGACTGGGCAGTATATACAAGAGAACATATTTTGAGATTAAATCTTAGCAATACATAGGTTCCATAATGCACTGCTTTTAAACCAGAAGAGTGCTTTTTCTCCTTGAATGTGGACCTGAATTTCCATTAACCTGCTCACACTGTTTGCTCCTCCCTGTTGATTCACTTAGATTCCACCACACACAATTTGCACCCAACTTGCAAACCCAAACAGTTTGCAGTGACTTCCCATATGAATCACTTGTCCTGTCTCAGGCTTCAGACTTTCCTATTATATACCATATTTTTCGGACCATAAGACGCACCGGACCATAAGACGCACCAGTTTTTAGAGAAGGGAAATGAAGAAAAAAAGATTCTGAAATAAATAGTGTCCTAAAATATTTTATGTGCATTAAAACCCAACATAAACACATGTAATCAACCCTGTAAAGTAAACAGCAGCATTTAGAACCATTTTAGAGCCGGGCAAGCACACAGAGACCACACAGAGCCGGGCAAGTAAAAAAACTTTTTTTTTTAAAGTATATGTGTAGGCTATATTTGGACCATAAGACGCAGGGACTTTCCCCCCCCACTTCTGGGGGAAAAAAAGTGCGTCTTATGGTCTGAAAAATATGGTAATATCTCAAACAAGCAGCAGCTGGTGTTAGCATGCCCCATACCCCTCAATAAGAGGCCCCAGGCCTGGCACTAGCGCTAGCATACCTTGTTTTATATCTTGGCCTCTCATGGGCACTTTAATCCCAACACAAGTAGCAGCCATCTGAAGATTGCTCTGTAGTTCCTGACAGGTGGCCACAGGTGCACCTTCATGGGGCCATCAGAGCCTGTGCACCCAGTGGACAGCTTCAAATCATGCCAGATTACAACTCTACATATTCACAAGCAACACTCTCAAGGATCAGATTCAGTAAGAACCTAAGCCCCACAGAGAGAAGTCCTGCTCCATAGGAGTGTATTCCACACAGCCACTCTTCCACTGTATTCATAGCTGGTCTTTACAGCCAATTGGCCTGGTGGTAAGTTTGTCCCAATGATACCAATAGTAGTCAAGTATCAACAACAACAAGACAGTGCACACAGCCCACACAAGGGCATACACAGGTGACTGGGGAGGCTGAGCCACTGGACCCTACAGAACATCTATTACACAAGGCCACTCTACCAATTCCAGGAGACATAGCAGCTCTACCTAATACATAGAAACAAACACAGGATGAAGCCAAAATGCAGAGAAAAAGAAACATGTCATGAATGGAAGAACAGAAGAAATCTCCAGAAAAGAACTAAATGAAATGTAAGCAAGCGAAAACTAGATACAGAGTTCAAGACAATGATTATAAGGATGTTTAAGGATTTTAGTGATAGCTTCAATGGACTTAGTGAGAATTTCAAGAAAATTACTGAGAACATCAAAGAATGAAAAAGAATGAGGCAGAAATTAAAGGAAGAATACATGATCTGAAGTGAAGAATAGTTTACAGGGAATCAATAGTAGAGGATGCTGAGAATCAAATAAGTAATTTGAAATATGAGGAAACAAAAAACAATCAGAACAGCAAAAAGAAAAAAATCTTATGTAGATAGTGTAAGGAGTCCTTGGGATAATCTTCATTCACATCAACATTCACATCATGTGGGTGCCAGAAGAAGAAGAGAGGGCAAAGTATTGAAAAGCTATTTGAAGAAATAATGACATAAAACTTTTCTTACTTGGTAGAAAAAAATGGACTTACAAGTCTAGGAAACACAGAGCATCCCAAACAAGATGAACCCAAAGAGGTTCATGTGAAGACACATCATAAATGAAATGTCTAAGGTTAAAGACAAAGATGGAATCTTAAAAGCAGGTAGTTAATTACAAGGGAGCATGAATATGATGATAAGCTGATTTCCCAACAGAAATGTGGCAGATCAGAAGGGAGTGACAAGGAATATTCAAAGTGGTGAAAAGAAAGATTCTACAATCAAGATTACTTCACTCAGAAAAGTTATCATTTATGATAGAATTGAAGGTGAGATAAAGAGCTTCCCAGAAAAAAAAAGTATTGGAATTCATTATCACCAAACCAATATTACATGAAATGTTGAAGGATATTCTAGAAGAAGAAAAAGAAGAAGAAGAAGGAGGAGGAGGAGGAAGAGGAGGAGGAGAAGGAGGAGGAGGAGGAGGAACAACTAAATGCCAATACAGATCTATCAACAATTGAAACTAAAAATAAAAATAAACAAACAATGAATCAATTGAAAAAAATAAACAGATGAGTAAAATAGAACCAGAGGTATGGAAACATGGAACAGACTGATGAATTTCAGAGGGAAGGGGGGCGGAGGTAGATGGAAAGAAATTAACCAAAGAACTTACATGCATATATGCATAGCCCATGGACAGACAACAGATGGTGAAAGCCTGAGGTGGGGTAGGAACTGGGTGGAGAGGGCAAAGTGGAGAAAACAGGGAACATCTGTAGTATTATCAGCAGTTAAGGTTTAAAGAAAAATGAAGGATAAAACTTTTTTAAAGCCAGTGTGTGTATTTTGAGGCTCTGAAGGCAAAAATATTTTTTATTTATACATTTACATAGTAATTAACAATATATAAACAAGTATGCTAAGAACATGTGGGACGAAGAATAGGAAACTCTATAAGTAGAATTAGTTTTTATCATTTGACACGCATAAAATTAGATTAGAAACAAATTTGTTTTAATTTTTTTTATATAATATGTTGGCCAAGTTATTTAAAAGTTGGAAAATCTTTCCACACTATGTACAAATGAGAAGGTAAAAAGTAGAAATATTACCTTTACACTCAGGAGGGTCAGGGCTCCATCGGTTAGGCCCAGAACAAACAAGCCTGCTCGCTCCAATCAGTGAATATTCATCTGATCCATTTGAAGGTTTACAACGGTAACTTACGGCTTCATTATATTCAAATGTATCCTTGTAGTTATTGGTGAATTCTCCATTGGGGATTTGTGGAGGTGGTTGACACAAAATCTCTTAAAAAGAAGAAAGAAAAACAAAAAAAGAACAGAAAACGCAAAATAATATGTAAAAGATTAAGACGGCATTAGTAAGAGCCTGTGAACTACCTTCAATAAGTTCATTATCATATGATTTCTACATCTAGTTGCAAATCCAATATACATTTGAAACAAAGTTTAATGAAAGAAGTTGTATTATCCCAATTCAAACCATAAATAGAGAACTGAAAATTTAGAATAAGCCCATTAAAAAAAAATACCCTTAGAAGATACCTGTATGAAATACTTGCATTTATCTGTGAGGCCACATTAAGTTTTCCTAATCATAAGAGATGCTGACAATTTAATGATAAAAATATACTTATGACTTAGGAAAACTCAATGTTAGTTGAGAAATGCTACATCCTTTCCTGAATCAGTGGTTCACAGGTATACCACAATTCTGTTTTTTCTCTCTATCATCCTTAGAGTTTACAGTGAAATTTTCCAATGGCTTCAGAATGTCTGACAATGCCGCAGAATGAATCTGGAGGTCTTCCTTTAAGCCAGATACTAAAGAGATTATAAAAACTGTGAAGTGCTTGATCATCAACCTATGAACAAGGAAGTCATGGTTTGATTCCCGGTCAGGGCACATGCCCAGGTTGCATACTTGATCCCCAGCGAGAGGCGTGTAGAAGGCAACTGATTGATGGTTCTCTCTCATCGTTGATGTTTTTGTCTCTCTCTCTCTCGCTCTCCCTTCTCCTCTGAAATCAATAAAAAAAATATATTTTTTTAAATGTAAAGGAATGACACTCTACTGTTTTGGAAATGTTTGATCCTACAAAAAATATGTATTGAGCTTATTGTTCTTAAAAATTAGTTAGTAAATAATTATTTAAAAACTCCTCTGTTTTAATCCCAATGTAAAGAATATCAGTAGCACTAACCCACATGCAGAAAAGTTCTGTGGGGTCTTAGTTAATTGTAAAGCATACATGGATCCCCAGGCCGAAAAGCTTGAGAATGGCTGCTATAAATTCTAAAGAAAGAATGTACTTACTGTCACAATGTGGTGGCTCCTCACTCCATCCCACATCATTTCCAGAGAGTCCACAATGTAAAATTTTTGGTCCAACTAAGTAATAACTAAATGAGAAAAGAAATGGCTGTTGTTTCTTTATCAGTTAACAAGAACACATAATAATGAAGAAGTTTTTATAGGGTTGTTTTTCTGCATGACAGTAGCTTCAGAGAGAATTTTCCGAAGTGACAGGTATTGAATGCTTTAACTGAATCTGCGATGTAATTAAATGGGGAGATTCTTCATATGAACACACGAGCTAAGTATCTAAATAAACCTGTCATGTCTGACAGTCTGGTGATTGCTACCTCTGGCAGGCACCTCGCACTGCCACATCTATGTCCTCCTTGCTCATGCCATTCTGCTCTGTCAGGGCAACGACTGGGCAGAGAGATCTGGCCCAAGAGCTGACCTGACTGCATTTGAGTCCCAGCTTCAAGACTGACTTGCTTGTTGAGCTTGGACAAGTTGATTAATGCTTCTCTTAATTTTTTAAATAACTTTTAATTTTTTGTTAACCCCGCACCTGATGATTTCTTTTCAATTAATTTTTAGGGAGAGTTGAGAGCAGGGGGAGAGACAGGGAGAGGGAAACATGGATGTGAGGGAGACATCCATTGGGTTGCCTCTTGACTTGGGCTGGAGGCACAGCCCCCAACACAGGTATGTGCCCTTGATTATAAACCTGTGACCCTTCAGTCCACAGTCCCTCGCTCTCATCTCTGAGTCAAACTGGCTAGGGCTGGTTCTCTTTCTTGAATGCCCCATCTGTGGAAAGGTATTACTTTGTGGGGTGGTTCTGAGTAGTGGGTGAATTGGCATCTGGAACACAGTGAGTGCTAGGCAAGTTTTTGATGTTATGAATACTCTTCAGAATAGAGAATCTTCCTAGGTGTAGCTCAGGGAGGGCTCCCCGCCCCCTCCCCCGTGCAATCTGATGATTGAAATTCACAGAACTCTCTCCTCCTTCTGCACTTTCCTTATAATTATTCTGAATAACTCTATTACTGTGGTAATCCACTTACTATTTTTAAAAAATATATTTTATTATTTTTTTTTCAGAGGGGAAGGGAGAGGGATAGAGAGTTAGAAACATCGAAGAGAGAGAAACATCGATCAGCTGCCTACTGCACATATCCTACTGGGTATGTGCCCGCAACCAAGGTACATTCCTTTGATAGGAATCAAACCCGGAACCCTTGAGTCTGCAGGCTGACACTCTATCCACTGAGTCAAACTGGTTAGGGCCCACTTACTACCTTATTGTACACTTTTCTGTATATATTATGCTTCAATGAGGATAAAACTTGTTTGAGAATAACCCATGTCAGGCATTTTCAACCTTCTTCATCTCATGGCACACATAATATAATTACTAAAATTCTGAGGTCCACCAAGAAACCGGTATATTTTGATTCATTCACACAGGATGGCTATTATTGTGTTAGCAACTGTCATTTTTTATTCAAAGTCTAAGAGGTAAGTGCCAAATACATAGTCACACATTGCATGTTTTAAAAATTCTTGTGGCATACGGGTTGAAAATTCCTAGTCTATGCCCTAATCTTTTGGAAGCTCACAAGGTAGATTGTCTTTCTCTGTTGATTGGATATTCTCACTTGATCAAATTAAAATATAGTCAGTAAAAATGCCTGAACATAATTCCAGTTGACTTTCTCCCAAGGCTCATTCATTGATTCTATATCACAATGTATTAGGATAGAATTCTGGGATGATGGCAGAGAAGGAAGCACCAAAATGATGTCTCTGTAAATAGACAACAATTTCACTGCTAGAATCTGCCTGATGTCACTGCTTTGAACTCTGAGGTCTGTTGAAGGCTTGCACTTTCCAGGAAGGTCTTGGGAAGGTAAAATGCAGGAACATTGGTCAGTGTCAGCTGCTCGCACAGTGGCAGTTACCATCCCACTCCCACAGCAGGCTGCTGTGCATGTGTCCTTTGGCAGCTTATAGGCAGCCTGAGGGGCCCATGGTGAGCAAAAAAGACCATGTCCTTGGGGATCTGTGCTCGCATAACCTACTGCTGTTTGTGGTCACAGAGAGGCAGGCAGGGGCTGGCAGCCATTGTTGTCACACCTCCTGCAAAGTTGCAAGACCCATCCCTCCAGGGGATTCACAGATCCAGAGATCATCTCTCCATCCTTCAGTTTTTCCTTTTTCCCTTTCAGAAGACTGACAATAAATACTGTGAATTTAAACAACAATTACACATCTGGAGACAAGTAGAGGGAATGTGCCCAGAAGGCGGCTCTGCTTTTCTGTGATCATATCAGGCTGATCCTCAGCACAGAGACATGCTTCAACAATCAAAAAGCAGAACAATAACATGACACAATAAACCCTAGGAAACGGTGAGAATTTGATATTTAGTTACCTCATTATTAGATTCCAATGTCCAGTTCAACAAAAAATTATAAGTAATAGGAAAGCATAGCCCATTCAATGGAAAACATAAAACAACAAAAACTATTCCTAGAAAAGGCTTGAGGGGACACGTACTAGAGAAAAGATTATAAAATAGTCAGAGAAACTGCATGTACATATTTCACTGGCCCTCTTGGGATATATACATGGGTTCCAGTTTCATAGTCCTCTTTTCCTTCCTGGGGCAGCTGAGTGGCATTTGCAGAGAGGCGGGTATTTGTGAATACCCTGATGGGCAAGACCATCACTCTCTAGGTTGAGCCCAGTGATACCACTGAGATGTCAAAGCCAAAATCCAAGAAAAGGAGTCTAAATAGTCAGCAGAGATCCCAACACGAACTTGGGGGCCAGGAGACATTGAACTAATCGACTCATATAAAAAAATTCAACCAAATATCCTCTTGTCAAGTAAAACTGTGTACAAAAGTGAGGGAAATATCAAGACTTCCTCAGAAATGAAAGTTCAGAGAATTTGTTACCACCATACCTCACTTGCAAAAAATGCTCAAGTGTGTCCTAAAAGATGTAATTAAAAGACACTAGTGAGTACTGTTATCTAGAGAGTCAGTCCTAGTATAAGGGAGTCTTCTGGCCTCGATGGTCCTGGGGGAAGATTCTTCCACTAAGCGCACCAAAAGCTATTGACCTTCTTCCTCCAAGGAGCAGCTTACTTACCCCTGATTACAAGCATAGTGAGCTTGTGAGCCAAACTCCATATTTTCACTAACGTAGACCAGTTTGCCATTTGAGGGTTCTCTTGGAGGTGGACATGACTTTTCTAAAAGAAAAATTGCAAATTTGTTGTTTTCTACCAATGTCAAAACACATTTGGGTCAAAATGAAAATTCTACATTGCTCTATTAAATTCATGGAAATATTTTATTTTTATTACATTCATTGGGGTGACATTGATGAATAAACTTATATAGGTTTCAAGTGTACATTTCTAGGATGCATGATGTGTGTGTTTTTTTATATATATATTTTTTGGGCTCTCACCACCCAAAGTCGAACCGTCTTCGTTACATAAATTTGGTCCCCGTTACTCATTGCTCCCCTTGCAAATCCCCACCCTTCCCTCTGGTAACCACCCAACTGTGGTCTGTGTCTATGAGTTCCAGTGTTATATCTCACATATGAATGAAATCATATAGTTTTCAGCTTTTTCTGAGTGACTGATTTCACTTAGCATAATGTACTTAAGGTCCATCCAGACTGCCGTTAATGGTCAAATGTAAGGTTCACATTTATGCCTAGAATCAATGGCCCAATAAAAGATTCCCTGGAGATTTATCAAAGCGTGAAAAAAATAGATTCTAAATGTACACCCATCTGAGAAAACCATCATGGTAATGAGGGGATATGCCACCTAAAGTGCGTGGTCTAGAGCAATAAAAATAAAAAGTGTTGCGAACTCACTTGTACAAGCCTCCTGGAGATCAGGTGACCAGTTGTTATCAGGCTGACAAACAGCAGAGGTCGGAAGAACAGGAAAACGCCGCCTGTATCCTTGGCGACACTCATATTTTATTATGTACCCAGGGCTGAAAGGGGGTTCAGGATCACCCTTGGGTTTCATAGATTCAAATCTTCGTAGCTCACAACAGGCATCTGAGCATAAGAGAATGAGAACATGAAAGTAAAGTATTTTCTTTTCCACCAGCCAATGAGTATGGCCTGGCAGCAGGCAGGTTGTATGGGATAAATGGAAGGTCCTTGGTGAGATTTTAAGTGACTGTGCCAGGCTTTTTCCAGATGACGAGCTGTGCTTGCTTTAAATAATATTCTATTAGCCTTTGGATTCTTTGGGAATAACCTGAATATTCTTTCAACAGTAAATTGAACAGATAGCAGCAGTAAGTTTGGTTTCAAAATATATTTGTAGGTATGTATCCTTCCCATTCTTTTGCCCCTTTAAATGTACATTAGATTGCTTATTTGGAATTGTACCTGCTTCTGAAGAAAGGCTCTTATAGGTATATGACTGGTTTTTATCATATGTCTGCTTTTGCTGTATCCCATACATTTTGAAAGGATTTGTTTTTATTTTCATTTTTCCCAAGGTACTTTTTGTTTTCCTGTTGGATTTGAATTTTAACTGGGCTTTCAGCCCCCACTTAATATTATGCTTCATATAACATTTCTGGCACTTATAAAAGAGTGGTGGTACCAAGGAAAAAAGATTGAGTATTTGCTAACACCAGTGTGAAAACCAGAAAGGATCTCTGCATTCTAGTAGAACTAGGACAGAAAAGGTGGTTTGGGAAGAGGGACAAGAGTCAGGGGAATTTGAGCTGGAGTGTGTGAGTCTCTGAGATATTTTGCTCAGAGAGGGTGTCTGAGGGGATGTCATCACACCTAAGTTTGAAGGACAAGGAGCCAATTATGCAAGAGAGAGGAGGAGCCTGGGGACAGCAAGTGCAGAAGCCCCAAAATGGCAGAGTGTGGCCTCTGAGCAGAAGAGCCTTCTCTCCCAGCAGTCACTTCTTAAAGGCTCTCAGAGAGTCAGGCTCCTTCCTCCAGGCCCTGACTAGGGTTGTCACACCAGCACTGTGGTTTGGTGACTGTCCGCCAGTCCCAGAAATGTCAGTCCCAGTAAATCTTTATTGATTGCCTGCTGTGCACCTGGCACTGGGGATCTAACAGGGAGCAAAACTCAGTCGCTGTTTATGTTCATGTGTGTGCATGTGCAAACAGACCAAGAGTGGAATAAGCATCATGAAAGTAGAAGTGGCTTGTTATTGGTCACCAGTGTGTCTCCAGAACCAGCGCAGGGCCTGGCACATACAAGGCAAATCTTTATTGAAAGAATTCTCCTAAGGAGAAAATGCAGCATGCAAACTGTCTATGTAATAGGATCCTAAAAGTCACTCGGGCATAGAAACACACATGCATACAAAGACAGTTGGAAATATAAAGTATTCACAATGTTTGTCCTTTGATTGCATATGTTTTATACAATAAGTATATACATACATATATGTGTGTATATATACACATATGTGTATGTATATATATACATATGTATATTTACATGTATATATTTGTATTGATTGTATTCAGTGAAACATGAATCAAATGTAGTGGATGGCCTTCAGCTTAAGTTTATCACCTACAGAGGGAAAGTTTATTGATGTTATTTATTGTTCATTTTTTATGACTCATTTCTCACTAGGTTTTGCTACCAGTATTTTTTAGGTTGCTTCTAATCTTCCTTCAAATGGGACCCAACTTAGTGAAAAAAAGAAAAAGTATTGCCCAAAGGCATAGCATATTATTGATATTGGATGAGAATGAGAAGGGAACTCCACAGTTAAAAAACAAACAAACAAACAAAAAAACCAACTGTCTGGATCCTAATATCAATATTGATTTGAGGGTAACAAGCAGCCTGCTGTCTTTTTGTACAAAAAGCACTGCGTGTCCTTCCCAGTCCTTCCAAATCTCAGGCCCTGCAGCTAGCTCTCACTCTCTAAGGGCTCTGTGGGTAACACGCTCCCCAAACCCATACAAAGCAAGCAGCGAGCTTCCTTGCCCCACACCCTGCCCCTCTGGCCTGGACCCTTCTGGAAAGCACACACCTGGCACCCCTGGCCTGGGAGTCCCCAGCCCAACCCAGTGGGCATAGCGCCCACTCACCAAGGCTTCACTGAGCCCACGAGCACAGGGCAAAGCCTGCCCACGGGCCCAGCACTCCCCCAAGCAACCTCCCCACACACAGCTGGGCCTTGGGGAGCAAGCCCTCATCTTCAGCTCCTGGTCAGGGCTTCCCCTCTCCTGTTGTTAATTGTTGACAGTATTCCACATGTCCCCCATTTCCCCACCCTTTTCCCCTCATCCACTCAGCCCTCACCCACTCCTGGCCTTCCCCACACTACTGTCTGTGTCCATGGGTTATACACATATACATATATGTTCTTTGGTTAATCTCTGACATCTTGATTAACTCAGTCCCCAAACACCTGCAAGTTTGTGCTAGGGACACAGCTTGGCCCCCAGCACACACTGACTACACCCAGGACTCCCAGAGGCTCAGTACACTACCACCTAACCACCCTCACCGCGGGCCCTCTGAAACGCCCCTCACTTCTGGGCTCCCCACAGAACCACCCAGAGCATCTGTGGCTGAGGCTTCTACCCTGAACCCGCATCACCTGGGTCCCCCAAGCCCTGAGCCCCTACCCCCAACACCAAGCAAACTTCCCTTCGCCCTCCTCTCTGCTGGGCCAGCTCCCCTGCCTGCTCTAGATTCCCTCCAGAGCTGACACCCTGGCGCTTCCCCTACCTGAGCATGTGGGTAGCAGGAGCTCTAGGGCCAGCAAAAGCACCCCAAGGAAGCCCCGCGAAAAGGGACTCTCCAGGCGGCGGGAAGATGCCCTGCGTGGCTGGGAAGATGCGGTCATTGTTCTGGACATCAGCGGGGAACCTGAGGGACAGTGAGTATTTGCCCCTTTGAGTGCGTGTACCGGACGCAACAATCCCCAGACTCCAAAGGCGTCAAGTTCTTTGCTGTTGGTGGGCGTGGTCCGGACAATGACGTCATGGTATGGCACGTCCAATGGCAGGCTGCAGAGGAACAGGGCGTGGCCTGGCCGAGCTCTATCCCAATCCTGTCCACTTGCTGCTCAGTCTCCGCTCTGGCCTGTGTGGGCAGGCCATTCCTCTACCAGTCCAGGTTTGCTGGAAATGGTGGGTCACTGCCATGCCCCTAACCAGGCAGTTACTACCCCAGGTAGAAGGGGAGGAGGGGGGAGGAAGGAAATGAGAGCTGGCTCAATGGTCATTGCACCTTTCCGGGACACCTGGATGGAATAATAAAGCGAATTGACCTGAAAGCAGAAAGTCAAGAGTCCAGACAGAAGGTTGCCTAGAGACCAGCAAGCAGCTGGAGTCTCAGAAAATTCTTTTTCTGGAGCTATCATAGGACGGCCCCAGGCACCCAGTGGGAAAAGGGATCCCTCACTTCTTCCAGTGGACATCCCATTTCTACAGATAACAGAGCCAGGGCCCTCACTCATACTTGGCATTAATCACACATCATTAGGGTAGTTGAGTTTTCTGTGGTTGACCGCCTGCTATCGAATTCTCTCAAGATCTGGTAGATTTCAAAAGCACCGTGACAGTCTGGCCATTGCCCGCCCCCCCCTCCTCGCCCCGCCCCAATATAAAAGCCTCCGCCCCTAGTCCCTTGAGAGGCTCTTGGGGAGGTACATTATTAAACACCGTGCCATTAAGGACATTGAGTCTCAACCTATAGGACCCTTGCCATTTTGGAACTAAATGTTTTATTGGAGACAAAATACATATATTTGGAAAAGGGTAAGGACAGGGTGAATTACGTGTCAAGTTCCTGGATGTGGTTAATGCCATGCTTGGTGGAATGAGTAGGAATTGTTAAGAGGGAGAACTTTTGTGGGGACACCATCTCAATTCTGGAACATTAAGAATGAGCAAGATTTACATGTAGAGTTGTAAATTGGTAAGACTGGATTTTAAAAAGAGTAAGGAGGGATATTAAAGTGCACAAAAAGCAGCTGACATTTTGTTCTTTAGTTGGCAAAGGATCAAAATGTCAGCAATTGTGAGTAAACATATTGGGAGCAGCAGTATCTTCAAATCTTTCATTTTAAATGCGACTCTGTTGTATGTTAAAAATTTTATAATGGACATGGCTTTTACACCTCCACTTCTGTTTAGAGTTTATCCCAAAGTAATCATCAGAGCTGTGAGCAAAGATGTAAAAAATTTTGGCAAAATAGAAAACGCTAATTGGTAACAATATTAAGGAATTGATGGGAATCCTATGCAGCATGCGATGTTAAAATATCAATGTAACTGAGAGGTTGGTAAGTGGATAAAACAGACTCTGGATCAGCATGTGACCCTTGGCACTTCCTTTATAAAACAGTGTATATTGGTACAAATAAAAGAGATTAATTGGAGATATTCCCAAGTTAACTAAGAGATGGTTGGATTATGCATATTTCATTTTTTGTGCCTTTTTAAAGTTTTCTCTATACACTCAGGCTACATCTGGAATCAGGTAATGAATAAAATTTTAATGATCCCTTTTGTAGCCACATCTATTTTGTTCATAGAATGATGCAGATAGAACACATATCACATAGGGTTGAGGAATGAGTGGTTGGTAAGGAAATGGAAGCTCTCAGTACAAAACTCCAATGCTCCTTCTGGAATTACAAAATTAATATATATTTACACAATTCTGCATCTGAGAGGAACTGAAGACTTCTGGATTCAACAAATCATGAAATTTCCTCTTCCTCCCTGAACAACAGAATGTTTTGATTCTTTACTGAGCATGTAAGACCCTCTGTGTGGAGGTGATGTGTAAAACTGTTGACCATGAGAAAAATGTACCTGCCACAAAGGACTTCTCATGGGGTCAAATTCAGAGCCAGTGTCATTTACAGAGGCACCCTCTTTCACTCTGCATTGCAGCATGGCTGACAACTGCACTACCCAAAATGCATATGCTGACAATCACAGTGCTAGCATTACAAGTTCACAAGAATGTTTTCCTGCCCTCTGTTGTGGTGGCTATGTAGGATGCAAGACAGCATGGCATAACCTGAGGTACCGAGTAGGTAAGAGAGAGAACAAATGAATAATGTCACCAAGTCCCCTTCCTTCTTTGGTCAAAGGAAAAGTGTTCTCAGAGTTGAACAACGAAAGAGAAAGTGCCCTGTTCCATAAAACCCACAGATCCATTGTAACTCATGAAATCTTCACTTCAGTCTTGTCTTTTCTGAACCATGGCTGTGGCATGGGAAGTACACAGGGCCCAGTAGTTTGGAGGAGGCATGTCCTCCTGCACTTAACACAGTCAAGACTGAAAGGAGGTATTGCATAGTCTAAGGCAGTGGTCGGCAAACCGGCTCTTGAGCCACATTCGGCTTAATGGCCCCTTGAGTTTTTAGCAAAGGCCAGTTTAGGAGTACCCTAATTAAGTTAATAACAATATACCTACCTTTAGAGTTTAAGTTTAAAAAAATTTGGCTCTCAAAAGAAATGTCAATTGTTGTACTGTTGATATTTGGCTCTGTTGACTAATGAGTTTGCCGATCACTGGTCTAAGGTTGTCCAAATGCTTCCTTGGCCAGGATGAAGCCTCTCCTCTTTCTTAAGGCTGGGAACATTGTCCTTCCCCCCAGGGACAGACCCCGATGAGCCCCATCAGTCCACCAGACACCCCAAGCAGTCACTGCTGCCTGATCCCTCTTCATTGTTCTCTCACACAAGACTTCCAAACATCATCTGACACAAACATCATCACTGAGAATTCTCATGGCCTTCACAACGTGATTTAGTCTTTGTAGTCTGTTTCTTTTGAACACATATTGAATCTGGTTTTCGAGGCCTTGTTCTCCAATGAGATAGAAAATGCGTTGGCAGCTGTGTGTCCCTCTTAGCTTCATGATACCACCTGGTTGGCTGTGGGTGTGTAAGTGGGAAGGCCCATTGGATTCAAGGCTCACTCCGGCCTCCTGCAGGCTGTACTGGCAATAGTTCCCACCTGTGAAAATAAAGGCTGAGGAGTTCTTTTTTAAAAAAAAAAAAATATTTGATTTAATTTCTTACATAGAGAAAGGGAGAGGGATAGTTAGAAACATCGATGAGAGAGAGACATTGATCAGCTGCGTCCTGCACACTCCCTACTGGGTATGTACCCACAACCAAGGTACTTGCTCTTTACCGGAATCGACCTGGGACCCTTGAGTCCGCAGGCCAATGCTCTATCCACTGAGCCAAACCAGTTAGGGCAGGCTGAGGTGTTCTTAATAAGCCCGAGACACAAATCTGAACACAATTTAGGTAAATAATGTGTTAAGTCTCCAGCCCAATAATTCTTCACGAGGGGTGTTGGCCCAGGCCTTACTGAGAAGCTGGCATATAGTTTGGGAGGAGCAGGGGAGGTGGGGGGCAGAGGGGCGAGGGAAGACTAGTGTGTCCATGTATTGGGGAGTTTAAGAGTTTTCCTTGAACACAAGAAAAGTTGTATTTTGGGTTTATTCTCTGGAGACAGCTCCTCCCCACCAAGGAGCCTGCACAGAGCAATGCTTAGCCGCCACCCTTACAGATGCTGCCTTAGCTCTCCCAGCGCTGGGACCTGGCATTGCTTTCTGCTGTTTGTTTCAAACTCCTCACCGGCGATGCTAATGTGAGGCCAGGGCTGATGACCTCTCCTCTATGGCTTCGCTCCTCACTGTGTGTTCTGAGGACCCACGGCATTGGGGGCTGGTCTCCTGTGGCTGCCGTAACGCATCACAGCAGACTGGGAGGCTCAGTGTCTTCCGGCCTCTAGAAACAATGCTACAGCCTGGGTCGCTGCTGAATAACAGAAATGCGGTCCTCACAGCTCAGGAGGCTGGGAAGCCCAAGATCCAGGCCCTGGCAGTGTGGGCATCTAGAGAGAGCCAGCTTTGTGGCTCATGGGCAGTGCCTTCTAGCGGTAAGTTACGTGGCAGAGGGCTGAGGGCCTTTCCTGGGATCCTTTCATTGGGACACTAATCCCATTTGTGAAGCCTGAGCCCCCTTCACCTAGTAACTTCACAGTGGTCCCACCTCCTAATGTCATCCCCTTGGAGGTTAGGGCTTAACACAGGAATTTTGGAGCAACACAGAACACCTCAAAACAACACACGTTTATTCTTTTTAAAAATATATATTTTATTGATTTTTTACAGAGAGGAAAGGAGAGGGATAGAGAGCTAGAAAAGTCGATGAGAGAGAAACATCGACCAGCTGCCTCTTGCACACCCTCCACTGGGGATGTGCCCGCAACCAATGTTCATGCCCTTGACCGGAATCGAACCTGGGACCTCTCAGTCTGCAGACCGACTCTCTACCACTGTGCCAAACCAGTTTTGGCACATTTATTCTTTTCCTTGGAGGTCATAAGTCAGAAATCAGCTTCACTGGGTGGAAATGAAGGTATAGGCTGGGCCACCCCCCACCAGGGGGGCTGGGAGAGAAGCAGTTTCCTGGCCGTTTCCAGCTTCTGGGGCTGCATTTTTTGCTTTTTGGCTCCTGTCTCCACCCTCCCTCTGGCAGCATTTTGCTTGAGAGGTCACACTGCCTGGTACTGTAGTGACATCTCCCTCTGCCTTCCTCTTAGAAGGAGACTGTGATTACAGTAGGGTCCCACCTGGATAATTTGGGGTAATTTCCCCATCCAATGTCTCATCTTTGAAGACCCTTTGCCATGCAGGTAACATCACAGGTCCCAGGTGTCAGGACCCTGATATCTGTGGGGCCGTGATACAGCAGCCTACCACAACCTGGAGAAGGTGGACTCACAGGAATGGAAACACAGGGCCCACCTGAGACCCATTTGAATCAGAATCTGCATTTTATCAATATCAACCTGTGATTTACCTACACACTAAAATGTGAGAAGCATAATACTATGGCATCTTATCCAACTATTCTCTCGCGATTAAGTTCCATGTCAAATGCAGATGGAGTTATTTTCCTA